AGTAGACAATGGGCAGTCCTGTATCTCAGTAATCCCATGGCAATACCTTGTTTTGGCAAAACATCTCCAATATGATATACAGAAAACAAAGTAATGAAAGGTGGATACTCATCCTTGTTGCAGGATGCCTCCACTACAAAGAAAAATATAAAAATTGCTCAAGTTTGTTGTAAGAGGAGAGGTGCCCCAGTGAGGTCCAGAGCCAGCTGAATAACTATTCTTTGTTTCCCAAACTTATGTGTTTGCTGTCAGGGATCCAAATCTAGTGTCTTCACATTAATATGCACACTGTCCCGGCTACAAATCATATAGCACAAATGAGACTAAAGTCTTTTGGAATGAGACCCCATTCAGATTGGCAGATAGGTACCAAACTAAACGGCGTCACATCCCAGAAGATCATTGCTGTGGAAACCTCAGATCTCAGTACAACACAGTGTACCTCACAGCATTCTTAGTCTCATATTCCAATGAATACAATAGCCACTGAGGTAATTATTCAAATCTGATGAAGGCACAGTGTAGATTCACTCTCCCACAGAGCACAGTAAGGCCCAAAATAAAGCATACCAGCATCTCTGGCTGACACCTGACCTGTTAGTGTTAGATCATGTGCAGCAAATTTTAACAGGACCAGACAGGTCCAAGCATGGACTCAGGGCTTTACTGTGGGGTGAGCGGAACTGGAACTATTCATGACCACTGAATTCAAACAAAACACTGATTCCACAACTTTAATCTACTTACTTCGATGAGTGCTGGTATCTGGGATTTCCTGTGTGTGCTGAAACCAGAGAATATCTTATTTTTACTATCCCACGCTTGTCTGTTGTGTAATGTTGTATCAGAACATGCCAACATGCTAAGTAAAACTATTACATTTAGGCTTTGTACAGTATCTTGGTAATTCAAACGGCCCCTCACTATGCACATCTGTGTGCCATGGAGTCACAGTTCAGTGCCTTGAGAGAATTCATGGGAATCTTGATTCTGGAGATGGTGAAACTATGCATATGGAGTGGTGCTACATGATTCTAGGGATGATGTCTTCAGAAACTAGAGGTCTTCAAGATATTTCATTTATCCTGTATTTAAATATTCTACCTCCTACATCTAAAGAGCTGTTCCCTCAAGAGAGATCTACCTCACGAACCTGCACATGTTACTTCATTAATGTAGATACATTATCTCATGAATTTAGAGGCGTCATCTTATGAATCTGAAAGTGTACTGTCTGGAGTCTGGAGAAGATTCCTCAGGGCTAACAGGGTGATGCCTAGTAATACCGGAGTGGTCAATCGTCTCTTCACATGATTTATGAAAGCAGCAATAAACAGAGTAGAACCCTGCTGTCCACTCATGCTGTTTTGTTGCCTACATCTGCAGTTACATCTAGATAGCATCATTACATTATTACTCATAACAGGTGAAAGAACTCACACATAAGCATCACAATTAAAGTTGATATTACAACAGTAAAGAGGTGAACAAATTTACTTATTTTTGAAGTGAAATCCATTCCAAAGGGTATATGTCAACAGAATAATATAAAAGAATTATAAATGTTATGAAACGTATATTTGAAAACAATGCAACAATACAGTACACTCTGATCCAATACTAATACATAACAGAGAGAGTAACAAAGAGAAACAAACGCAAAATCCAAATAATGGCTATGAAACTAAACGTCTATGTATTTTGTCCGTCAATAATGCAACAATCATTAAAATATTCACCATTCAACACCAACACAACATGTTTTGGCCACAGACGGCCATCCTCAGGTGTTTCGATGCATCAAAACTGTTGCACTGTTTTTGTTGTGCGCTAAAATTGCGCATTGCAGTCTACTTAAATTAAGATCTTTTGTAAAATCCTATCCACCTCATAAAGGGCGTTGTCCACTTGTTTAAAGCCCCTTTATGAGGTGGATAGGATTTTATGAAAGATCTTAATTTAAATAAACTGAAACGTGCAATTTTAACACGCAACAAAAACAGTGCAATAGTTTAGACGCATCGAAACACCTGAGGATGGCCATCTGTTGCCGAAACATGTGTTGGTGTTAAATGGTGAATATTTTAATGACTCTTGCATTATTGATGTACTAAATACATAGACGTTTAATACAGATGTGCAACAGGATGCTGAAATACAGAGTTACAATGGGTATGAAACTGTTTTGAAGTACTGATGGAAAAACAAGAAAGGACAAAACTGGAAATTAAATTTTTAGAGAAGTTAACTCAACATTCATTGCTAGAGATACAAGAGAAATCATTACATTGGTTTGGCTATATAAAAAGAATGGAGAGGAAACTATATATCAGGAAGGGTATTAGAATTACAATTTACAGAAAGAATGTCTTGAACAAGATGGTTTAGCTACCTACAGAGAGCAACAAAAGCTGAAAGAAATGAAAAAGGGAAAGACTGTTGGGAATAAAGAGGAGATTGGACACTTTTCATCCATTCATCTGTACAAAATGGAAACGGCAGAGAGATTACTACTTATCAAACAATGTGATGTTTCTGATACAATGCCACATTTTCAAATCATTAAGTCAGTCTTACAATTGGGGGCCAGTCAGACAATGCAGCGAGTATATTACTATGAAACTCGAATACTTCCTGCTGTAGAATACTGCTTTATCACAACAATTTATCTTAAAGTAATATAAAGCTTGTTGAAATTTCAGGAGGAAATTGCCACCATTATGCACATTCTTTGTCACACTATGTTTATTTCACTTTGACCCACTTTTACATATTACAGCCCTTGAGGGACACTCTTGATTTCGCTGAATATTCACACTACTAACTTTAAAAGTTCTGGAAAGACAGCTATACTTACAATAAGAACTGATGTTGAAAGAACAGAAATGTGCAATAATAGGTGCTGCTATCTAGAGGTAGGCTATGAACTTTTGTTTTTTTGGCAAAGGTGGATACTGTGTACCTTTCATTGTTGTTTACTGCTGCTTCATTCACTCCTATTTAAACTACTACCAACTGTGACTGCTATAACACACCTGAACTCAGAATAGAAAACCATATAACTGGTAATAAATAGACTACTGAATCCTGCAACCACACAGCTTTGTTTTGGGAAACTTCAGAAAGAATTCAACTGGCTGCCATAGAACTGTGTTGCTTAACAAAACCAAACTGTATCTGAAGATCTCTCTCTTCTTGGACATGATGCCATGTAGTCTGCTAAAAGTTCACAGGTGTTTCAGTGGAACATACTTCCTCCATCTTCAGGGTTGAAAAGTAAGCCAAGCAACCAGGAAGAACCAGCTGACAAGCAGAGTTCCAAGGGTACCAAGATGATCTACCAATGGACCCACTTCTTTAGAAAAGTTCTGCTTGCAATCTGCTTCTTCCTGGTTACCAATTTTACTTATTTCTCAACCCTGAAGATGGAGTCAGAATGTCCCAAAGAAAACCCAGTGTACTTCTAACAGATTATATGGTGTCTTGTGCCAGAATATAGGAATATTCATAATGACTGCTGTGAGAACCTCAACTGTAACCTCTGCATGATCGTGTTATTAATGGCACAAGATACTGACTCTATCACAGCATGTGGAGACCAGACTCAGCATGCGCACACTATAATACTGCAGCCATGCAATTACGTCCGTAACCGTGAGGCGACAAATCGACAAACTAGATCGGACACAAGCACATGAAGTATCAACAGGCATTCTGGCACACAATGAGCAAATAAACTGAAAGAATGAAAATAAGTGAACCCTGCAGGCTGTTGGTGTGAAGCAACATGTTTTTACATCTAAGAATTTCTACTGTGCTCTTTACACATGCTTCAGAAATTCATGAAAGTCAATAAGCAGTTCATGCGTGTATTCTACACTGTGTCAATTTTATGGCAGTGTTTGCATTTCTACATGTCGAAACACTTCATAACAGAGCGAATGTTCATGTAAATTTTTTATGTCAGTGGCACTGGAATGGAAGATGGCACATGAATAGGATGCAAAGGAACAGGGGTGTAAAAATGCATGCAGCAGCTCACACAGACAAACACAACCACCCAGCATAGTATGTACAAAAGTCTGTACTCCAAAAGTAAGTCACATGCATTTGCCCATATTTCACTGTGAAAACATAACTGTTTGTATCAAACTAACATATTACTCTCTTGCCTTCCTTTCTCTGGCATACTGTATCTTTCTTTTCTGTGTAATTATGTGACAACACTGTCCATAGCGTACAGCATCAAATGTTAGGATGGCAGATGAAAGGATATGAAAGAAAGCAGCTGTGGCATATTAAAGTACTATCCTAGCATTAGCTGGAGGGATTGAGGCAAACCATCAGAAGCCTCAGTAGCAATAGCTGGTGTCCTGGCCAGGACTCAAACAAAACACCTTCTGAATATGAGCTGATCGTTACTGCTGGCCCAATCTCTTATCTCCTGCCTTAAACTGTAAAGATTAAAATATACATAACTATAAATTTTCCTGAAAATTAATCTCTCAAATTAAGGGCAAAATATAGAGTAAGAAAGTCTCAGAAGAGAACATGTGGAACTAAGATGGATGAAGCAATGACCGAGGATGGAGAAAACTGCACAGTGAGGAACTTCAGTTGGGCCAGCCAGTATTCAAACCAAGACTCTCCTGAATATAAGTCTACTAAACCAAGCTGATTGGCAACTTCTCTGAACAGATGGCTCGTAATGATTACTGAGTTGGTTGTGATTCAGAATGCACAGGGAAGCAGGATAAGTCATTTAGAAGAACAACAGAAGAGGCTATTCTGTTGAACTGGAAGAATAACTACCTAGCACACAGCCTTCCAGAGCTCCTAACTTTTGCATAGCATACTCAATTGTTGATGAAGAATGTTGAAAGATGGTAAGAGGTAGTAAACGCACTCACCTGAACCTGAACTGATGAGTGTCAGTCGAACTTACTTTTGGAAGTACAGTGTCAGAATGTGTCTATGTGTGGCCGAGGCATGTTACATACCTCACAAGCAACTCCCTGAGAGTGGCTTCGTCTTCCTCCTGAATTTCTTCCTTCGTTTCATCACTAACCTTCCTCCGCCGGGTTGTCGGGTGGGCCTCCCGAGTTCTGGCGGTCAGCTTGAGCTGGGGGGACCTTGGTGCAGTTGCCTCAAGATCGCCACTGTCGCCCACGGCAACATACTCCTGCAGTTCCAGAACTTCCGCTCCGGGAACCGGATGGACTTGTGCTTGAGCTACCTCTCTCTTGTGATAATGTTGATGTTGTTGCTGGGCCGCCACAGACTTTCTCATGGATTTAATTCCTGGTTTTGTCTCGCCCATTCTCCTACCTGAGGACCCAAGCCATTACCACCACCAGCACTCAACACTGCATGGTACACTCCACATGTCAGTTCATAACGTAAGCTACCGTACGCTATGAGACTACATTTTCATTTCATTTCTTTCTGAACTTCACTGAAAACTGGAAGGTTTCTAAACACAAGACACAACCTGGCAGATTAGTGGATGATGTGCTTCTTCATTACAGTACCATACAGCTCCAACCCTTGCCTAAAAATTGTAACAATAAAATATACAGGCTGGGACAAAGGCCCAAACAGGGAGTGGGATGGAAACAAGTCACATAGCTGCTCCCCCCTTGGGTTATTTTGGGGGGAAAAATTAAAAAGAAGGAAATATACCAAATATTAAAACCAAAAATTATAATAATTTTTAAATCGATTTTTCTTTACTCAGTATGCTAGGATGACCAGTAAAAACAGTCATAAAGGGCTTGAATATAAGTTTGAGAGAATATTTTTGAAGAAAAGGAAGGCTGTGGGAAGAAAGAAGAGGCTGAAGACTTTTCATCAACAACCTACACAGAACAGAAGTGAAGATCATTATATTTCAACCTCTAACCCTCTGGAAACCAAAACACATACATACAATACAGAACAATTCAGTTCCATCTCACAGAGAATACAGTGCTACTCCACTGCAAAGACAAATTGGTTATGCTGTTCAGAGAAATAACCATTACTGATTCTGAGAATCATTTTAAACATACAAATACATTCTGTGGGTGAATTACAGAGTATCTCAATGTTATAAAAAGTGCTTAGAAGTTAATTCAACATGAATGTCATATTTGTTTTCAAGGGCGATAAACTTCCCAGCAAACTGAAAAGAGAAACTTATGCAAGGAGATGATCACTGTATAACAGCTAACAAACTCGAAGCCCTCATTTTACTTATCACATTCAATTAATTTGTACAACAAGAATAGTGTGTCAAAGCTGTGTGCATAGAGCCAGAAAGTAGCAGAACTTTCACTTGCCCTACATAGCATTCGGTTCCACAAGCCGATATCGCCACTTAAGATTAATGACCATAAATTTCTGATCATTCACAAGAAACCTTTAGGACTAACACACCACAGTAACTACAAAAGTTTGTAAGCTAAGTAATGTACTCATTCCCTACTACATAGCCAGCCAAGTGCCAAGTCATAGATGAAGCCCTCAAATGTGCTGCCTGGTCATGGCTATTGGTTAGGATGTGGTGGCAGATGGGTATGGAGCAGGGGGGAACTGAGTAAAACTGGGGAGAAACTCCAGTGCCCCTCCAGCCACCACAAATCCCACATGAAGTCACACAATACTGAACCTTATACTCTGCAGTAAGATGCTTGCACCTAACTGTCTGAACTAAGTAGCTAAATAAATACTTAACTAACTTGCTAATAAATGAATTCCATACTAAATATGTTCCATAAGCATCTGCAAGTTATTATATCAGTCAATAAATTCCTTATTTCCAAGAATTAAATATTTATCACCATGAAGATTACTATCCCCTGAGATGTGACACCATGTAGCCCAAACATTACCAGCGTTTTAGAGGAACTTGCTGCCTACATATTAAGGGTGGAAGAATATGTATAAACAGAGTAATTATGAGTACCCTTGTACTCAGAAGATAAAGGTCATAGATTCCTCCAAAACACTGTAGACAGATACTAATGTTTGGGAGGAACCTGTACCCTCACTTTCTGGGCAGCAGAATGAATGGTGATGCAGCGGCACCAACCCTGGAATGAGCAGATCACTACAGGAGGCTGGTACCTATCAGACTACATGGCATCACATTATGTGATCTTAACATGAACATTTCTACTTTCTGGGATACAATACTGTGTAGTCCAGTGAAAGTCAACCAGTACTTTAGAGGCACACACCACCTCCATCTTCAAAGACAAAGAAAGAGCCAAGCAAAAAACCAGCACAGAAAACCACATACAAAAAATGAGGGCACCTATTCAAGTTAGAAGGTATATGGTGTTATATCCCAAAAGACATAACTTTTCATTCACTGCTGTGAAAACTTCAAATCCAAGTTGAACTTTAAAAAATTCAACTTCCTACATTATGGTAACACAAAATCTCATGAGAACTCATTCAACCAAAATGAGGTGTTGCATGCTGACAGATAAGGCTAAGCTTTCAGAAATTACAGTGAAGAACAAATACATCATAGTAAAGTCAAGCCTGTTACAATATAAGAAAACAGCAACTGACTTGCTATGCAGTGTGAACAGTATAAATGCCCCCACACTGCCACTCAAGTGTTTCCCCTCAGGCCAGTCTTTATTTATAAAGGGAACTACTGCAATAAAAGTGGTTTTGCAAGAAGAAAAAGAATAATGTTTGAAATAACACATGATACCATTACATTCTAATTAGAAATCATATAAGCCTTAGTTCTATAATCTGTCTGATACTAAAAACAGACTGCACAAGCTACATTCAGTTATCTGTTTTCCCAGACATGTCTTCTGCAGGAAGGTACTAAAATGATATGTATTTTACTCATTTAGTTAAAAGTTTTATATTTCCTTAATAAATACAGTGCAAATGAGTTCATTATAGATTTGCAAGCTGACACAACTGCCTAATGGCCAATTACAAAGTCAGCACAAATACAAATACATATACAAAGAAACTTAAAGACAAAAACAAAGTAATTAATACAATTAAAGTGCAGTAATAATTAATTTTATTAACACAAATAAAAGTTGATAAAAAGAAAAGATTATACATACTGTACTTAACTGAATATAATCAATTCACTGGTAAGGTATTTTAATAGACAAGAAAGCATCATAACAAATTAAATTATGATTAAAATAAATGTAAAACATAATTTTGTCCTTTTGCTTAATTGGCTAAACACTATGCCATGAAGCTGTATGGGGGGGGGGGTATAGCTTCACATGTTAACCTCAGCACTAGATGGAGGTGAGCAGTCTGGTACACACACCAGCTGCTTTGCTTCCCTGGGGCAGAGACCTTGGTACCCACTGGACAGGAGGCTGGGTGGGCCACAGATCCAATCTGGGTGAAGTGGAGAAGAGACACATCTCTTGTCCTTGCTGGGAATCAAATCCTGATACTTCTGCCAACCAGCCTGTAGCCCATCACTATTCCAACTGAGCTACCCCACGTCCATAAAATATGATTTAGAGAAACAGTTTGTTTTCTTATGAGTAACAGTAGCCTAGTAACAACAGTGATAATGATAATCAGTTGAAGATGCAAACAGCAGCAACAACAACAACAACAACAACAACAACAACAACAATATTGATTAGAGGGGCCTCATGATTTAAGGCAGGCACTGTCTTTGGCCACTCAGTCACTCGGATCTTGGGCTTCACACATAGATGTGTGTCTGCATTCTTTCTGTCTTTAGCTTGTCTTGTAAAGGACTTCTCATGGACTGATCCCCAATACATGGAGACCTATATAAGATTCATAATTTCAGAACTACTTCCCATTGGAAGAGGTTAGAGAGTATACCTGTAAGAACCAAATACCAACAGCAGCAACAATAGCAATGTATTCCTCTTTTAAATTCCACGGTAGCAACAAGAAGTGCTATACTCCTGCATGTACTGGACATGTAGTGTCAGTGTTTGGTGTTTATGTGGTTGTGCAGTGATCATGCATTGAACTGTGCATGGACTGTGCTGCAACTACACACAACACTGCTGCAAGTCACTACTCATTCACAGTAATGGAAATTACTGGCACTACAGCCCACTGTGAGCCTTGGACTCTTTGTGGAGGTATAGTTCCAGTGTTTCTCAAGCTTCAGCACTAATAACAGATGAGTGGTAAGTATCACGACCCCACCCCAACCAAGGAAAAGAGATCTCAGTTTCCCATTGGACAAGAGGCTGGGTGGGGTCCAGGGTTGGTCTGAACACATTGGTCTGCACTACATACAAATCCCTAGTCATTACACTGACTGAGCTAGCTGGCTAACAGTACACAGTAAACCTAGGGGTTAAGCATGTCAATTAAGGTTTCAGACAGATTAAGCTGGCTGATGCGACTTGTATTTGCAAGGTGATTGGTTCAAATGTTGGCCAGGACACAGGCCATTCTGACTGAGGTATCTCGTGTGGCTTTTCTCAGTCTCCTTGGACAGCACTTAAAATTAGGCCATGACTACTTCCTTCCATATCTTCTTCAATTCACTATTCACTAATCATCCCATAATTTGACACTACATAACATAAGCTTTTGACAGCAGTGTTAGACAAACCACAGACATATAAATTCTTATTGACTGTCGACAGTTATTTCAGGAGGCAAAAAGTGGATTGTTGTAAATGTTAATATATCTTAAAGTATTCAGCTTTTATGTAAACTTTTGTCAAGCATAATATCACTGGTAATGGGCATGACTCACATTTGGAATGTGTTCAGTTTGATCTCTGCTGAAAAAGCAGATATGGTAAATGCAGTATTTCATGGTTTTTCTAAGTCTTTCCAGGCAATTTCAACAACAGCAACCACTAATGGCCCACAGGTACTTCCCCCACATTTCTTCCCAATTCACTAGTCATAATCACCGTCACCTTTAGTTGACACAGCACCACAGCATCACTCCCTCCCTCCCTACCTACTCCCCTGCATGTCTGATGAACCAAGCACCCACCACACCAACCAACCCTGCAAATGGAAGCACAATGTGCCTCTGAAACAACTGAAACTCTGCCCATATCAATGTGGTGCAAAAACCAAAGATAAAACTCGACTTCAACAATAAACTACTGTAAAATCCTAAAGCCAACAACCTAAAACTCATTCGGTCTCAAAATGCCATTATGTATAACTGGAGGGATTACCATAAACGAAAGTAAAACATGAAGTTTCCATTTCAAAAATATGCAGTTTCAATTGAAAGACTGAAACAGAACTTACATGTAGCCTTCAAACACTCTTTCTCTCTAACAGTACGATGTTAAATATATAAGACACTGTCCATGTAAAGACCACCGCAGCACAGGAAGGAAAGATGACACAGTTAAATTATTGTCATCTTTCAACCTCAGCCGGAACAGCTGATCGATTTTTTGATAGCTAAGTTTATTTTAAAAGTATAAGCGTCAATAACATATACGTTGAGTACTTTATACTAAAAAGATGTTTCCGGCTGTTACCAGCTATTACAGGCGTTAATATGGTTAAGCTCCATATTCAATAACTTGGCTCATTACTATATGACACCTGTGTTTCTGTGCTAACACTGCCTATCCCTGCATGTTTTCCAGATGAGCATTACAAAGCTCTGTACTCAGAGCAGTTTAATCATCCCTGTGGGGCAGCCAACAAAGGCCAAGACCACACTTTGATATTACAGCAAGTTTTGATTCTCTTTTGTTTATTCAGTAACTCTATCTTGACAAGAACCAAGTTAATACTTATGGAAGAGATGTGACTTCAAGCAGCTTATAGGCAGTATCCATCTGATGCCTGTAACCGGATCTCAAACATTACAGCTTAAGGCTGATAAGTGAATCCTGGATGATGAGTTTCCATACCTACTATGTAAATACAATCAATTAATTTCACTGTAACCATTTGCATCATCGTGAGTCACAACTCAAAAGAGGAAGCTGAAAAAGGAAGAAGAAAGGAGTTTACTCGTATACATATATTTCCTTCTCAAATGTAAAATATTATCTTGTCCTACTGCTCTATCACATGAGAGAGAGAGAGAAAGAGAAATGTATGACAAGACAATAACTTGCACTCAAGACAGAAATATATCTGTACAAAACAAAATAACATGAAGAACGGCGGATAACCAGGATGATAGGAAGGAGAATGAAAGGAGGGGAGCAAGGAACTGCAAGAAGATGAACATGAAGGAGATGATAAAACAAAATCGCCGTTGTATTATGTCATCGCTACGTCTGATGGTGTGGGTCTGAATGGGATGAAATAGTATGAGCCACAATGTGCATCCTGTTCTTAGCATTAAGTTTTGTCCTTTATAGCCAAATTCCAAATGACAAAATCAAACATTTTGATTACCTGGAGACAGAGCTGAGCCATTTCCAGGCTTAGTGCATGGAGAAGGCGGCTACCATACAATCAGCAATATTCGTGTTACTTAGTACGGAGGTGGTACACAGGTTACTGCCACGTCCCGAGCAGTGATGGGCCGGTAGTCTGCCTGGAAGCAAAACATAGCATCATGTGAAACAAAATGGCACACTAACACAGGCACACAAAGTGTCTTCCACTTAATGAGCTCCTTAGGCTTGCAAGTGGTTAATGGATACACATAAAATTTGCAGTTGACATAAAAAGTAAAGCTAAGCCTTAAAGGTTTCTGACATTTGTGAGTAACAGTACATTAGCTATAACTATTATTTTCACCATTGTCCTTTATATTTTATGTTTCAAAATGTATGCTTTCAGAAGAAGATCCAGTTTAACAGACGTGTGTTTCATAAAAATTAAGACATGGAGAATGTCCGAAATTAAAGTCATAATTACAGAAAAAGTTATTTTGGCCACTGCCCATGATCTCAAACATTTTAAAACATAAGCTTTCAGAACCGATCCAGTTTCAGAAATGTTGTGTTTCACAAAAACTCGAGACGTGGAGAATGTCCGATGTAACAGCCACAGCTACAGAAGTGCTGAACTAAGCCACATGTGAGGACTGAGACTGGAGTTCCAAGCTGCATGGTCTAGCGTACAGCACAACTTGAAGTATAGGGAACCACACAAGTGACGATTATGCAACTGAATGGCAGTATAACCCAAGAAGGGTAATGGCACTAACACCAAAATCTGTCACTGACCACACAGACCAGAGGCAGTCAAATTCACTCCCATATTCATGGTCTCTTTCATAAAATTCAACTTTGCATTATTTCCCCACCTCCTCTTCTGGTTCCGTGGGTGGCATGCGGTAGTGTAGTTGGATGAGGCACTATGCTACAAGCTGGAAGGACTCAGGTTTGATTCCCAATTAAGTCACTGGCTCTGTCAACTAACTTAATCCTCTCAGCTACACTATGGCCCTGGGGTTGACTCAGCCTCTAACAGAAGTTAATACAGGAATCTTCCTGGGGGTAAAGGGCAGCCAGCGCATAAGGTTGACAACCTCACTGCCATCTGTGAGCTGACTGTCTAGTTAGAAAATGTGGGAGCCTCAACATCTCACAATCCTATGGGCCTCCATGGTCTATTATGAAGATGGTTTTACCTTCTTTCTTCTCATCCCTTGACATAAATGTGCAATACTGAAACGGTTGGTAAAACAATTATGTGCTTGGTGCATATTTGAACACTGCTCAGCAGGGATTTCTACCAGCTACCTGTTTTCATGGTTTTCCTCAGTTCCTCCAGGCAAATTCCCGGAAATTACCTCAATTAGTCACAATTTTCTTCCAAATCATTTCCAATTCATCATTCATCTATAACCCTACCATCCAACGCTACTGACAGCGTTACAAAATAACTCCTCTCCAAAAGAGCGCTCGCGTCCCTGGGATGCAGATGGAGGAAAGTTGTGAATGTAATGACTAAGAATTTTTGGATAGCCAACAAGGGTTGGCTTCTTTTCCTGGAACCGGTGGTAGAGCTAATAACCTTTACTGCGCTGCAAAAATACTCATCTAATGAGTATACAGACTTTATTTTCAAACTGGTGAAGTGACAACATGAAATACGTCTTACCTCACTTACTTTCTAAACGCAGTTCATGATATCAAAATTATATAACAAAATATTTCTCGCATTAAATTCTTTAACTTCAGCCGGCATTATATTCTCACTACGCCTACTGCAACCTTCGATGTTTGTGACAACAGCACTACATTCTTCCTCTCAAACTTGTGCTTCCTACGTGTTACGCGGGGCCGGGGGCCATTACAGTGGAAAACTTGGTCGGTTACCAATGCATCAGAGTAAGTAAGTAAAAAGTAAAGTAAATGTATCTCTGTAACAGGCCGTGGAGGCCCATAGGGTTGTGAGATGTTGAGGCTCCCACATTTTCTAGAAAATCGGCTCATAGATGGCGGTAAAGTTGTCAGCCTTACGCCCCGGCCGCCCTTTATCCCCAAGAATATTCCTGGTACTCATTTCTTTTAGAGGCTGAGTCGACTCCAGGTCCATAGTGCGGCTGGAAGGATTGGAGGATTGAAAAAATCCACCTAATCGGGATTCGATCCCTAGACCTTCCGGCTTGTAGCACAGTGCCTCAACCAACTACGCTACCGCGTGTCCCCAATGCATCAGAGTACTGCAATAAACCGGGTATTTCTGACCAGTGAAAATTTTAAATTTGGAGACGCTCCACCCCTATGCACGAAAGTCCAAAATTAGACTAGGGGCTTCACGCGTTACGGAGTTGCATCATTCCGACGTTAATTACAGTGGGGATTCCCCTGCTACGATTGCAGACGATGTACTCGGCTCCGCAAGGTCGACAAGACACACAAGCCAGCAAGCGATTACATGAATGTCTGTTTATACATTCAGGATCCTGTGATCACGAGTGGGGATAGCAACACACGACACATGATGGGGAAGTGCATGCAATGTGCTTGCTCTGAAGCCCCGGACTTAAAGCTGAGGATGTGATACTGTGCTGCCTGGTCAAGGCTGCCTCACACATCAGTCGGTACAGCGATGAGCTGCGGGTTTGACGACTGGGGCTCGATTCCCGGCGAGGGGGAGAGATTTTTCCTCTAGTCCACAGCGTCCAGATAGGCTATGGGACCCACCCCTATACAATGGGTACCGGGGGCTCTTTCCCCGGAGTTAAAGCGGCCGGGTCTGGAGCTGACCACTCGCCTCCATCGAGTGCGGAGATCTATAATGGTGGAGCTATACCTCCTCTCTCCCATGTGCCCTCAATGGTACGATGGCTGATGAATCGGAAGAGATTTGGAGGAGGCAGCGGTATAATCGAGGTACTACTCCGGCACTTGCCTGCAAGAAACACCACGAGAAACCACAGTCAGTATAGCCGGAATCCCGCCCGAGATTCAAACGCAGTATTTCTCGGCCAGGGACGGTAGTAGATTAATGAAGGGCAATGGTGAAATGATGATTAGAAAGGAAACATCGATGAGAAATCCACTCCAACGCCACTTCGTTNTATCCTACTAGTTCACAAGCCATAGACCAAACAACGAGGTGGGGTGGGTTCTACTTCTGCTCCGTATTCCGGAGGTCTCGGGTTTAAATCTCGGCATAAAATTAGGCGTCTTTCAAAATTTTATGACGGGCGTTCTGTACGTTAAAATTTAAGGTTTTCACGGCGGTGGTTATGAAGAATGCCGTCTTTTTGGATGTGACACCGTGTATATATTGTGTAAACCGACGTTTCGGAGGGCATTCCCGTCTCGATATTCATCAAGGAATCGCGTGGCAGAAGCCGCAGGAGCCCATTTCCAAACACTCCGTATCCTTCACTTACAGGGGCATTTTTCGGGTTGATGTAGAAGCAACGAAATACAGTAAAAAAATGTTAAGTTACTACTGCCTGTAGTCCAGAGTTGTGCCAATGTATAAGGTGCAATATATCCTATCATCCACTCCAACACCCCGTCTTATAAGTCACCCCTATTCGTGACAGTGTGCGTTCTTATACGCAATGCATGCAGAACACGTAACAACAGAAAAATGGAGGGTACATGCGTGACTTACTTAGTCTTTCGAGTGCTCGCAAAGTTCACGTCATGTTCTTTCGTGACAGCACGCGATGTGTGTCTACAAGGAAGATGACAAGTGGGGCCAGATTTCTGAATGTTAGCTTAAAAATGCTTTCCAAGTTGATTCTAAACGGCTCTGACGATGGCGTATAACATACGGAATTACTGGGTCTTTGGATTTTTTTGCATCGTCCGGTATTATATAAAATAGAAAACACGACGTTTCGGGAACTGGATCTGTTTCTGTCCTCAGTTGAAGGGAGACACCTGCTCAGTTGGGGCCCTGAGGGTAATTAAGATTGACTCTTTCTAGGGGGTCCAACTGAGAAGGTGTATTCCACACCTTCACCTGAGGACGGAAACAGATCCAGTTCCCGAAACGTCATGTTTTCTATTTCCTAGAATACCGGACGATGGAAAAAGTCCAGAAACCCAGCAATTCTGTGCTTTCCAAGTTGTTCTGCACATCACCTGGAGTACGCACGGAGTGTAAGTAAACAGACAAGAGGAAGAGAACAGAAGGAGCGGCAACTGTTCCGCAACGTCTGCTGTGTCTTGAAGTCCTCGTACTTACTGACTCATGGAGCCGCCAATTCTGCAGCTACTCAAGAAAATCCCAGCAGTTTATGGAACCCGAAGGTTCATTACCGTGTTCACAAGAGCCCTCCACCGGTCCCTATCCTGAGCCAGGTCAATCCAATCCACACCATCTCATCCTATCTTTCTAAGATCCATTCTAATATTTCCACCCACCTACGCCTTGGTCTTCCCAGTGGTCTTTTCCTTCTGGCTTTCCCACCAATATCCTATATGCATTCCTCCTCTACCCGATTCGTACTACATGCCACGCCCACCTCACCCTCCTTGACTTGATCATTCTAATTATACTTGGAGAAGAGTACAAGTTATGAAACTCCTCATTATGCAGTTTTCTCCAACCTCCTGTCACTTCATCTCTCTTCAGTCCAAATATTCTCCTCAACACCCTGTTCTCAAACACCCTCAGTCTATGTTCCTCCCTTAAGGTCAGAGACCAAATTTCACACCCATACAGAACCACCGGCAATGGAAACATTGTGTGTACCGCAGCACACAGTAACTTCCTGGCCTGTAAGACAGAATGCGTCGTTCCCAGTAGCCGACATTATGCTTACCTCAGTCCGCGGAAATTCCGAATAAAATACAGTTCTAACTCAAATTCTTCCTAACTTGAGTTTTTTTCGTTGGATTCCCACCGCGGCGGCCCGGGTTCGAGACCGGTTCTAGTCATGTGTGATGTGTGGTGGACAAAGTGACGCTGGGGCAGGTTTTCTACGAGTACTTCGGTTTCCCCTCCTAATCTTTATTCCACCAACTGCTCCACTGTCACCCTCACCTATCATCCGGGGCTGGTACAACAGGACAATAGTGGCCGCAGTGCAAGGGACTTAGTCCCACCTCAGTAAAGTAAAAAAACTTTAGTTTTCCGCAGACATTCTTCAACTTTTAATGAAGTCTTGAA